TTAGGTGGGTCTGGCATGGGTGGGGTGCAGGGTGGAGGGGGTTGCATGGGAGGGGCAGGTGGCATGGGGGAAAGCAGGGGGCTGTGGGGTGGAGGCAAGTCCTCTTGGGGGGCTGTGGGGAAGGCTGTGTCAACCTCTCTTTGGCCTTTCTGCCCCCCCTCGTCACTGTCCCTCTGGCCATCTCTCCATCCCTCCCATCCTTCTCACCCTTGCCGTGACCCGCCTGGCAGTCAAGGACGCCGATGGGGTGCTGTGCCGGTACAAGAAGATCCTCAACACCTTCCAGAAGCTGAAGAGCATGAGCCGGGCCTTCGAGCACCACCGGGTGGATCGCAACACGGTGGCACTGACCACGCCCATTGCTGAGCTGCTTATCGTGGCGCCCGAGAAGCTGGCTGAGGTGGGCGAGTTCGACCCGTCCAAGGAACGGCTGCTGGAGTACTCACGCCGCTGCTTCCTGGCGCTGGATGACGAGACCCTCAAGAAGGTGCAAGCCCTCAAGAAGAGCAAGCTGCTGCTGCCCATCACCTACCGTTTCAAGCGGTGATGGGGCCCCCAACAGCTCCCCTGGGACCCATCGCCCTGGCAACTGGCCTATCCCACTTCTGACACCACACTGCCCCGGGATCCTCTTGGACCACCCTGTCCCATACTGACACCAACACTGCCCATCCCTGAGATCCGTCACCTTGCTCACTGGCCTATCCCACTGCTGATGCCAACGCTGCCCCCTGAACTTCCTCAGACTGCCTTGCCCCACCTCGGACATGAGCACTGCCCCTGGGATCCCTTCAAAATTCCCTATCTCACTACTACCATCAATGCCACCTCCATCCCTTGAACTGGCCTGTCCCGCCAATGCTGCCCCCACCCCACAGGATCTGTTACCCACAAACCTGCTAACACACTGCTAACACCAACAATGCTTGCCCCCTGGGACTCTCTCGCACCAGCCCTTTCCACCATTGACACCAATGTAGCCTCCCACCCCGGGGATATGTCTCTTTGCAAAGCAACCTATCCCACCGCTGACACCAATGTCACCCCTCTGGGGCCTCTAGAAGCACCCTATCCAATGACTGACAAATACATACCCAATCCCTGCTGCCCATCATCTTAAACTATGATGGGATTCCACCCCCCCACGCACATACTAGTGCCCCCTCCCACTGCTACAACAAATATTGCCTCCCGTATCACCTCTCGCTTCAAGCAATGATGGGATAAGGGCACTATCCTACGCTGGTGCCCATCATCTACCACTTGTGGAGGTAATGTGACATCCTGCTCCTGACTGCACACAATCCCACTGCTGACACCATCACCTCTGGTACCATCCCCTGGCACTACTGCCCACCCATTCTTGCGGCAGACAACAGTGGGACTTTCCCTGCTCCCACAGAGCAACTTCCACTACTGTCGACCGCCACACGCCTGCTGCTTCCGCTCGCTCTTCTGTCCGTCCCATTTCTCTGCCAGTGCTCTCTCCCCGTGATCTGCCGCTACCCTTTGCTGAATCTCTCCACCCCACTGTGTGATGACTGGCTCCGTTCATCCCTCTTTCTGTGCACATCGCCTGCTGGACCTCTAAATTCTCCCCCTGGCTCTGGGAGGGGAGTGGGGGCTAGTGGTTGGAGCAGTGGGGTCTGGGAGCCCGGACACCCAGGTTCTGTTTATCCACTCGGAGACATTGGGGGAATTCTGTCTTCCCTTCCCAGGGGCATGGGGATCCCGTCCCTTTGCCTGGGGCTGTGTGAGCAGTGAGGCAGAGCTAGGTGTGGAAGGGGGCTATGCTCTCACTCTGGTCCCTGGCCTGCCCATGGGAGCAGTCAAACTCTGAGAGGCCCACCTATAGCCCATCTGGGGTAGGAGGCCTGTGGTTGCCAGGGCGGGGGCTAGCGGGCAGGCTAGCCCAAGGGGCCACAAGCTGGGGGCTTTCTTGTGGCAAAAGGGGTTCTGTCCTGACAGTGGTGGCCTGGTTAAATGGGTAGGGTGGGGCTGGCTGGACCAGACTCCAAGGAACACACCAGGCTCTCCTGCCCGTAGGGTTGGTCTGTCTGCACTGCGGGAACGGGCCACGGGGCCAGGAGGGGACCGGCCCCACAAGCACGGGAGGTGACACTGGAGAAAGCAGGTTGACCTTTTAGGTCCAGGTCAGGCCTAAAAATTAGGCCTGAGCACAATTCTGTGGGGCAGAGGAGTAGGGTGGAGGGGGGTGGGGCTTTTCCTCATGAGGTGGTGTGGGCCCTG